CCCCTAACGTAATAAGAATTATACATAATTTGATTTTAATCCCTAAAATAAAAATGGTCTAATTGGGAAATATTTTCCTGACAATCAATTTATTTAACAGTCAGTCCATATCGTAATATATTTCCAAAATTGCCGAAATGACCCTGAATTCAATTTGCAATTATTACCTACTTTGTTTGACATTCATTTACCCTACGTTTGTTTACTCTACTATCTACTGCTATCTATCTATCTAAATCTACACTAATATTATAAAAAGAAAGGTTTAATCGTTTATTTGTATTGAATAGGCTCTGAAACTAGTGAACCGATTTCAAAAAAAATATTTCACCATTAGAATCCTACGTTGTCCCTGATGAACATGGGCTATAGAATATTTTCAAAAAGGGAGGTACGAAATTTGCTTGATTAACAAGTAACATAAGCTGGTTATAATATAATATATTATAAATAAAGCCATTAATCGTCATTCGTTTATGAGTCTGTTTCCAAACGACTCCAACAGAGAGCTGGTTGGCGTTTGCAATAAAGACTCGGCGCGCGTTCCTTTCGGGAATGTTGCTGCCGCAATAAGTAATTGTGTGTCTTGAGTTACGTCGCCGTGCCTGCCCACGTACCTGCCGGATAAGCGCGCAATTAGGGCTGTCCCGATGAATGGGCGGCCTCGCCGGCGAGCACTAACTGCCGCGACGTCGGTTTCTGCCGATTACTGACAAAATTACTGGTTTACGGCAAACACAAGACCCTTCGCTTGATATTGAACCGACTGTGTTCCGAACATCAACATCGTTTACTGATTAATATAAAAAAAGAAAGTTTTCTTTTATGGTAACTGAATGGTTTCCTACTGCAGGTAAATATAAAACTAGTTTTTTTATGCTGCCATTAACCTAGTCAACGGCGTATTGAGGAGTCTTGCCAATGCTTTTAAAAGAAAATTGTTAGTAGAACATTAAAAGATTGTTACTTTTTTGTCTTATGGTTTAGTGAAAAAATATACACTGTAAAAGGTTTACTAGGTTTTCAAAAACATTGCCAACTATCGCAATTGCGCCCGCAGCCATTTTTGTTTGCGCCAAGTTTTTTTTATCTTCCCCAACCTAACGGCCGTCACTAACGATTCAGGTGCAATCCGCACTCCATCGCTGTCAGGCTTACTTGAATGCCAACATATTCATATTATGATAGCATTCTGAAAAACTTTACAATATTTGAAATACTTAAAAAGTAATAAATATTAAGATGTTTTTTTTTAGGTATAGAAAATTATTCGCATTTAGGGTGGATTCAACCAAACAAGAGTAAATATTAATCTCAGAATAAATCGTCAGTTTTGACATATTTCCCATATTGAAACTGTCAATGTGCCAGTTATACCAGGAGCTATTCTCAGATAAAACCTTGTTTATCCTGAACGAACCTAAATTTTCCTCGTTTGAAAAGCTTTCTTTAGATTAACTAGTAATGAAGGTTCAGGGCCGCTCCTGCCTGACGGCTTGACCGCGGGCACGGCGCCCACGCGCTGACGTCACGCGGATGCTGTGACGAGACGCTGCTAATTAATATTTAGTGGCGCTTGCTCCCGAGCGAGTGCCCCGCTTTTACTATTCACAAGGGTCGACGAGACTCGCTGTCGTTGAAACGGACTGAAAGGCGGCCGATATAATATGTATTTACATTTACACTGATGTAGTAGCCGTCCAAATCATTTAATTTTCGCCAATTTAGGATTTTAGACACTGATCACGCTAAATAACTAAATTATTTACTTTTAAACTTTTTTATGTTGTGGCTTCCATTTGTGTACCTATCTTTTATGATCCTTTGAGAGATTTTGTTTCTCCAAGATGCTTAACAATATTATCAATCACAACTAGATTTTTCAAAATTTGTTTTTAAACTGTTCTTGTCAATTATGTGATTTATGTATGGAGAGATTGAATATCGAATATTGCCAAGCTATGAATTTAATTCATGAAATCATGGCATAGCATAGCATACTCCAATATTAATGTAGATTATAATTATTCATGATCGTGTTAGGACATTACAATTATCGTGTTTATGAGTTAAATTGTCTTTAAAAATATTATTATTACCGTTTAGTATCTAAACTTTAGATTATTAAAATTTAATTACAGAAATTGGCACAACTTGATTATAAAATTATGAAACCGCCAACGCCATCTATGATACCGCTGGCGCACTAAATGTATGGAACATCCTTATGCTTAACACCTTTTATAAGTTTATAGGACCGATCTGATTTGTGGTTAAAATGAACATTATTTATGGACCTAATATAATAATATTTTAAAAAGTGTCCCTTTTTTAATAGACGTCAAAAAAGGAGGAGGTTCTCAAATCGAATGAAGTTTTTTGTATGTTTTATACGTTTGATACGTCCGTTTTCATGGATCGATTAAATGGATTTATGTTCCCAGATCCCATTTATATTATGAAAATTGGTTCAGAAATTTGGGATTTTTAATAAAAATAAAATAATAATCGGGCAACATGGAAAGCATTGGGGGAGGCCTATGTTCAGCAGCTGTGGACGTCCTGGCTGAGATGATGATGATGATGATGATAAAAATAAAAATAAGTCATCCGAGTAAACGACAATTACAGATTTCGTTCAGCGGTGTTGATAGTCATTAAAATACTTGTAGGTACTCAAGTAAACCGATATGGTCACTGTACTCAACGTTTTCCTTAAAAAAGATTGTAAAAAATGAGTTTTTTAAAAATGACACAGGGACGATTGGTTCGTCAAATTTTAGTACAACGTTTTTCACAATTTCTGATGTAACTACCTTCTACCTGTAAGTTTGGGTTTATAAGGATCACTTAGTTGGGACTCTTCGAGAAAAAACAAGATTTTCATTTTCTTTTAAGCCAGTAAGATTTCAAGCACGATGCTTGTTTCAAAATTTTTCCCAGAAGCATAATTTATAATAAACATAATATTCTGTCATAAGTACTTTTTCAGTGCCTTCTGAACATAGTACATTTTGAGTGATCCATATAACCGTTCTAAATATAACACGTAGCTTTGAAAGGAATCGAAAATTTGTTTAGAAGCTTTCACTGATTCTTTACAATTATTTAAAATGCTAATTATAAACACATGGTAGTATATTATTGGATACGCGTTATGTCTTATTCTTCAGGTGTCCAGATTGAGTGATCCAGTTAATTAGTTCTAACTTTCTTTGTTTAGGTTTCACAAATTTTATACCTTACCATGAAGTTTTCACAGTTATTTCCAAAATTCTGTTATAATTTGGTTGTGGTTGGATGAGTTTTGAAAAGATCACTCAGTCCACACGTACCTACATGCTTTTTGGTCCATAAGTATTATAAGTATAAACAAGTTATCGCTAAGGCTGAATTGCACCATTTAACTGTAACTATAAAAATAACTGGTGTTTTTGTATGGAATTTGACAGGATTTCGATTTTTGTTAAATTTAAAGTAAGATGGTGGAACCCAGCCTTAGTGTTAAAAGAAATTAAGAGAATATGTACTGGACGTCAATTTAGTTGCCGGTCCAATATATCACACTTTCCCCTATATTAAGGTCTTATACTATTTTATAGATCCATTATAATATTTTGCCATTTAAAGCGTAGAAATGTCATATTCGATTGTAAAATTAACTAAATTAATTAATTTACAAAATTAAACATTTCCATTTGTGTTCCTTATGGATTACGGAACTGTATTTTTTTAAAGAGAAAAACAAAATTACGTTCTGTAACCATTGAGTTATAATGTACGTAGTAATATTACTTCAATGTCTGTAACAGAACGAAATTCACGCGGGTGAAGTCGTGTACAAAATCTAGTAATTATATTATTGTATTGATGTTTCCAAATCTTTCGATACTACATACTACGAAGCTACGTGGTAGTCGCCTACTACAACAACGCGCTTCGCTACGAGCTACGAACTTCGGAGCTTTGCTACGAAATAAACTGCGGATGCTGCTCGAATTCGTTTCATGTTAACTTTCATTACTATTGATGTAAAAATACCTATAAAAAGGTACGGAAAATAGACGGGTTCAGTGTACTTTGGGGCTATTAGCAGGCTAGCTTAGGAGGGTGTCGAAGACAGGAAAAAGTGNGATTATCAGTGAGTGAGTGTCGTAAATGCGAAACTTTGCTTTCGCTTAACTTCGGAACTAAATCACCAACAGACTTGAAATTTTGGATTTTAAGTACGTGATTATAGCTTACTAGATGACGAAAATTTCTGCGTTCTGGTCTTATCCAGAGGTTCTCAAATAGGGGCCTGAATATACGGCGAAATGGTTCCAGTAAAGGATGGTACGGCAGTGTTTGCTTCGCGCTCGACTTGGCGGGGGCACTGCCGTGCCCCCAGATAAAAAGGTACGGAAAATAGACGGGTTCAGTGTACTTTGGGGCTATTAGCAGGCTAGCTTAGGAGGGTGTCGAAGACAGTTAGGAAAAAGTGGCCGGGGGTGGCCGGCGAGACGCAGGGCGGGGCGGGGGCGTTAGGGCTCGTTTCACGCACAATTAAAAAGGCCAGTGAGGCGGGTTAATGGCGGCCTTTATCTGCAGCGGAACAAAGGCCGCGCGCTGCCGCCTCCGCGCCTCCGCGGCCCGGCCGCACGGTCCACCTTACGGGATCCTAGCCGCAGGGACACTACTATTTGTACTAAATAAATGCCTTCCACTTTTGGAGAACATTTAAAATTCTACTCATTATTTCGTTAATTATATTCGTTATCTTCTGTAATAACAGAAATTTATTGGCAAGCTTCATGTGATAATAAATTACAATACGTCTTAATAGGATTTCTGAAAATTATCATATTAACAAAAATACTTTGTTCCCTATTGATTGATTCATCCATTTATTTAATTTTACATTAGATACAAAATAAAATAAAAGGTAGGTATATAGATTTTATTCTAAATTTTAGTTGTAATTGCCTGAACTTGAACAAAATATTGTCTGGTTGTTGCAGACGGCGGGCGGCGGCGGCCGGCGCGATGAGGTAGCGCCGCGGCGCGCGCGCAGCCCACACTCACCGCTCCCGCGACGCGCGCCTACACACACTATATGAGGTGCTTGCTTTCTCCGTTTTATTAAATAGTTTTCATTAAATATATTAAATAGATCCCATAGCACACTGAAATATGGTTTGGCTTGGTTTCCGAAATTAAATTATTTTATTAGAGTTATTTATGAAGTTTGCCTCTCTACGAGGAAACTAAAAGATAATGAAGTAACATTATTATTCTGTGGCGTAATTGTATCTATTAAGTTAGCGATAGGTACTACATATAGCCATTGAACAAACCACAAGCCTAGTCAAACACCTTTCGTAGGAATGAAGTTTAATCATTATTCAAACGAAAGAAAAGTGTCAACGCTCGATAAGCTTCCTATCATCAATCAACAGCCGCAGGTGTACGCGCATGCTCGTGGCGTGTAGAAGTTCGTACACATTATATTTCAGGAGCTAAGTCAACACTCCATATCCGTCCAGTGTTAGCTTAGGGACTCGGCTTAAATAAACCAAATCAAGGAACCTTAAAATTGAGCTGAGATTTAAATCTCGATTGATGATGTACCTATTACAAGCGCATAGCATAAACTCCAATATTATTACATATCTCCAACATAAAATTATTATGTTGTTTGTCTCAAGTGAATAAGTAAACTGAAGACTAATAAACATTATAATATCTCGTAAATCTAAGTAGTCCGAGACATAATAGAAATTAATTCTGCATTGTTCTGCCGCTAGCAAAACAGTTTTTAGCAGCAAAAAAGTCGTTCTAAGCGGATTAATATGTGTAAGAATTTTAATACGTTATCCTTCAGTACTGCCTAAAATATCTAGAATAAATATTCATATGAGAATGAAGCGAATTATTCATTTCCTAAAGATAAAAATGTACGAAAACTAAGGGAAGCTGCAAAAGGTTACGAAGATTTAGCAAAAAATGGTAGGTATTTACAAAATTATAGACTTCGAGTATACTGTATAACTAATATTATAAGGATTATAATAAGGCACGCTTTGTAGAAGGGAGTGCATTTTATCATTTATTTTAAACATTTTAGTATATAATCGCTTTTAATATAACTACTTTTGCACACAAAAGTTATTTTGGTTCGTCGTATAGTTTTTAAGCCTAAACAGTATATTTTGTCTTATAAACAATCTGTTTTTAAGTAATTTTAAGTTAATATATATTATTATAAAATTATTGTTTATTGAATAAAGAATCCCCCAGTTATCTGTTTTAAGAGATTTATTAAAATTGAGTTGAAAATTCGAATTTTCGGTTTGCTTATGTAAGTTAAAAGTTTTTGATTGACCTTTTTTACCAAATTCTTATTTTTCCCCTATCGCGCACCTCGTCCTCGAAGCAGTTTTTTTATTTAATATTATCCACTTCAGGCCTTATAATGTATGACATGTACTTACTTATCAATAATAAAATGATTATAATTTAATACATTTTCAAAGATTACATTATAGTCCAGTCATTTGGTAGTTTTACCTGAAAAGTTTTCCGGGAGTAATGAAAATTGGTATTAATATAGATTTCGATGTGCTCTTTACGAATTGAACTACTTTTACCGCCTCTGTGGTCTAGTGGTAAGCCTTTAGACACAGAGATCCAGGGTTCGATTCCCAGTGGGAGCAGTTTCTTCTGTTCGGTTTTGTTGGTGGTAGGTCTTGTTGGCGCTCCTACACCTGAACTATTGATTTCACAAAAAGGTTATGTAGACATCAAAAATAGGAAATTTTCTCTAGTTTTAGTTTCTCTAGCATGTTTTGTCATAAAATTAATCCGAAAGGAAACATTTAAGAAAAACTGCTACTCGGCTGCATTTTTCCAATATGGCGGCGCGAGCGGCAACCATACGAGGTCGCAAAGTTAAAATTCGTAAAGATCACATTGAAATCTATATTAATAGCAATTATTANAATGGTTTTCTTATCAATTTTTAGAACTCCAAAAACGCGATGCTTGGTGCGCGAGCGTGGCTGGTGCTGGCGGCGGTGGCGTGGTGCGCGCGCGCCGGGCCCGGGCCGCCCGCGCCCGCCGCGCCGCCGCGCTTCCCGCGCGCGCTCTACAACCTGAGCGTGCCCGAGAACAGCCCGCCGCGCACGCACGCGCTGCCGCCGCCCGGCGCCGAGCCGCTGGGCCTGGCGCTGCCGCAGCCCGACGCGCGCTGCCGCTTCCGCATCCGCCACGGCGACAAGGACAAGTTCTTCAAGGCCGAGGAGCGCGTCGTCGGCGACTTCTGCTTCCTCACCGTGCGCACGCGCGCCGGCCACGCCGACGTGCTCAACCGGGAGCGCCGCGACAGCTACCGGCTGGAGGTGCGCGCGACGATCCAAGCCTCCGACCGCCAGTACGAAGCGGACACGGTCGTCGCCGTCGACGTCGCCGACGAAAACGATCTGAGTCCCCTCTTTTACCCGACCGAATATGAGGTCGTCGTCCCCGAGGACGCTCCGGTGCACTCCAGCATCGCGCGCGTCACCGCCGAGGACGCGGACCTCGGCCTCAACGGTGAGATCTACTACAGCCTGGCCGAGTCCACCGACAGGTTTGCCGTTCACACCACCTCCGGCGTTATCACCATCACGCGGGCTTTGGTGGCCTCAGAAAGTTTAAGGCATGAAGTCATCGTACTGGCTCGAGATCGCGCTTCACTTCTACTAAAAGGGGAAGATGCGCCTGCAGCGAAAGCTACGGTCGTAGTGCGCGTTGAAAGGGTGAATTTACACGCACCAGAATTGAGAGTTCGTAAACTGCCAGAACTCGTGGAGAACTCGACAGCTGAAATATACGCAATAATAGAAGTTAGCGATAGGGACACGGGTGAACATGGCCGAATAGCTAATTTAGAGATTGTCGACGGTGATCCGGACGGCCACTTCAGAGTTCGACCTTCAGTGCAACCGGGGGAATACGATGTCGTCGTACACGCACTCCTGGATCGTGAGAGCGCCCCGCACGGCTACAATCTGACACTTCGTGCGACAGACGCAGGCCATCCTCCTCGTTCCTCTTATTTAACGTTACCAGTGACACTTGTAGACGCCAACGATAATGCACCAGTATTTAGTCGAGAAGTATACGAAGCGAGCATACCTGAGACCGCGCCCCCGAATACGCCAGTTATTAGGCTCAAAGTAAGCGACCGAGATGAAGGTCGCAATGCTCGCGTTTACATAGAAATAGTTGGAGGTAATGAAGGTGGCGAGTTTGTAGTAAATCCAGATACAGGTGTTTTGTATACGGCAATAGCGTTAGACGCTGAAGAAAAATCGCTTTATACTCTTACGGTTTCAGCAATAGACCAAGGGAATGCCGGAACACGAAAACAGTCATCCGCAAAAGTAAAAATAGCAGTCCTCGATTCCAATGATAACAACCCTGTATTCGAACAAGACAACATGGAGGTCACAGTACTTGAAAACGGTGCCAGTGGAACCGTAGTAGCGAGAGTCGTCGCGAGAGATGCCGACTCTGGCGAAAATGCTTACATATCTTATAGCATTGCAAATTTACAACCCGTGCCTTTTGATGTCGATCACTTTTCAGGTGCAGTACGTACAACCCGAGTACTTGATTATGAGAGCATGCGCCGAGAATATACTTTACATATACGTGCAAGCGATTGGGGACTACCGTATCGACGTCAAGCTGAGATGCATCTTACAGTTCGGGTTAAAGACGTTAATGACAACCGCCCGCAGTTTGAACGGATCGACTGTGTCGGATATGTGCCGCGGAGGCTTACCATCGGCTATGAAATTGTTACACTTTCAGCTATAGACTTTGATGCGGGCGATGTGGTCTCGTATCGCATTGTGAGCGGAAATGAAGATAACTGTTTTTCTCTTGATTCAAGTACGGGAGTTTTGAGTTTATCCTGTGATCTAAATGATGTTCGATCTGAAACAAAAGTGTTAAATGTGACAGCTACTGATGGCACTCATTTTGCGGATGCAACTTCACTTACTTTACACCTCGTAGGAGGCGGAACTGGTGGAGATGCCAGTCCTTTGGAATGCCGAGACACCGGTGTTGCCCGACGCTTAACAGAACTTTTAGCAGCAGCTGAACGAAGCAATGCACCTATTGATTTTGCTGACGAATTTCCACTTGCACCCTCACGTTACGGGGAAAACTTACATTCACCTGACTTTATAGACTTCCCTGTGGAAGTGAAAGTAAACGAATCTGTCGCGCTTGGAACGTCTCTGGTTCGTTTACGAGCACGGGACCGCGACCTTGGTTACAATGGGCTCCTAGTTTACGGAATATCTGGAGGAGACGCTGATTCAGCTTTTAGAATAGACCCAGATACTGGTGACCTGCAGGTAATTGGTTACTTGGACCGGGAGCGAGAAACCGAATATTATCTCAATGTTACTGTTTATGATCTGGGCTCACCGCAACGATCGGCATCACGATTACTGCCAGTCACCGTATTAGATGTGAATGACAATCCACCTCGATTTGAAAAGACACTTGCTAGCTTTCGAGTAACAGAGAACGCTCTCAACGGTACCGCAATATTTCGTGCAAACGCAACAGACCGCGATTCAGGAGACTTTGCTCGTATCACTTACAGTTTAAGTGGTACTGGAGAAGACGAAGGAGAGTTTTGTGTGGAACGTGATACAGGTGTGGTACTGGTATGTGCACCGCTGGACCGCGAACGTCGAGCTCTTTACGAGCTGACTGTTCGCGCGACCGATGGAGGCGGGTTGCACGCCGAGGCGCTGGTCCGGGTCGCAGTAGATGATGTTAACGACAATCCTCCGCACTTCGGCCTGTCCGCCTACGGAGCACGGGTCCGAGAAGATGTGCCTACGGGTACCCTCGTCGCAGTACTCGAAGCTTTCGATCCAGATCTCGGGGCCGGCGGTATCGTCACCTACTCCTTGCCGGATCAAGCAGCGGACGATGTCATATTTACTATTGATCGTACTTCAGGAACATTACGAACCGCAAAACGTTTGGATTACGAGGAAAGACAGGTAATTTAATATTTTTATTCAGTTTTCAAAGTTAGGAAATGACGATGGCAGATAATAATAATAATAATTTATGCTTTCAACGTCAGGTATACGGAGTGACAGTGCGTGCAACGGACGGAGGGCGTCCAGCGCTATGGGCCGAAGCCACAGTGATAGTGGAAGTGTTAGACGTGGACGAAAACGCTCACGCTCCTCAGTTCGCCGACCGCACGGTGCTCCTGGCGAGCGTGCGGGAGGACGCCGCGCGCGGCTCGCGCGTGCTGGCCGCCGCCGCCACCGACGCCGACCCGCCGGGCCGGGACTCGCGGCTGGCGTATTACATCGTCGCCGGCTCCGGCATGGCTCATTTCTCTATCGACGACGAAGGTAATTACTCAAAATACAGAAAATCAATAATGACATCATCGAACAGAATGTGAATTAAATTATTTCCCTGTTGAGCAGGTGTTATCCGCACGTTGACTCCTCTGGACCGCGAGACGGTGCCGCACTACTGGCTGACGGTGTGCGCGCAGGACCACGGCCTCGTGCCCCGGCACTCTTGCGTGCAGGTTAGTTATAAATTATTTATTTTTAATTCAGTCTTGCGGTAGGTAACTTTAGTCACAGTATACAGGGTGGAATTTTGTAATGCCACCTGGAGGGAAAGTACTCTTAATACTGTCGATAGATAATTTTACTGAAAGAAAACATTCCTTTATTTTTGAAAATAAAGAGAACTGCATTCAAAGATTTTCGAATTTTTTTCGAATATTCTTTACCATACCATACAATTTCCTGTACCCACATAATTAAAATAATTTAAGATTTCATGGTTTTCCTTTCATTTGATTTATCAAGTTTTTTAGAGAGATTTCATCCTTTTATACTTAACCCTAACGATCGATGCAATAAAAATACGGGTCGTAATTTTAACAGATTTTAGTTGGTTCGAATCCCGGGTGTGGCAAGGAAACTTTTGGAAATCTTTAAATCTATAATATTAAGAGTATTTTCCCTCCAGGTGGCATTACAAAATTCCACCCTGTATATTTTTATCTACTGTGCTTATGTGTACCTTCTCTATTAATAAACAAGCAGTAATGAGAGCAATCAAGAGTTTCCAAAGTTATCTCTTTATTTTCCGCCATTCCTTAACCCAGCTGTACGTGGAAGTGTCGGACGTGAACGACATGGCGCCGTGGCCGACGCGCGCCGCCTACGCCGCCGAGATCCCGGAGCACTCGCCGGCCGGCACGCGCGTGGCGCGCGTCACCGCCACCGACGCCGACGCTGCGCCTGCGCCCGCGCGCATCACCTACTCCATCGTCGCCGGCAACCCGGACGGACTGTTTTCGATCGACGAACAAACTGGTAAAGCTCCAGTTTATTAAATTTTGAGCGACAGCTATAAAAAGACAATAACGTAATTAAACTTCAATCAATATCGTTCACCTGTAAATGACTAAATAGAGAAATAATATACTTAATTTGAGTTTTCATTATTTGTATTGGTCGCTGTTGATTTTCCGAATAAAATAAAATAATGTTATACTACGCAGGCGAAATCGTAACGACGGGGCGCACGCTGGACCGCGAGGCGGCGGCGTCGCACGCGCTGGAGGTGCAGTGCTCGGACGGCGCGCTGGCCACCACGGCGCGCGTGGCCGTGCGCCTGGCCGACGTCAACGACCACGCGCCCGTGTTCGCGCAGCACTTCTACGACGTGCGCGTGCCGCTGCTGCCCGACGCCGCGCCCGACGACACGCTGCCGCAGGTACGCCCCGTCGCGGGCTCGGGACGAACGGCGAACCGGCTCGTGACTGGCTTCGACGTCCCTGACGCGAGATCAGTCGCCAGCCGAGGCTTTATTCCGAGTTTCCGTAAAGCGCCACGTGTTCGATCCCGTCGGCCGTTGCATGCCTCGCTTACGGTCGGTTGCGCTTCTGAATTGATATCGTTCGCGTCGCTTGTGTGAGGAGTGGTAGTTTAGAGTGTGCGTGTTCAGGGCGACGCGGCGGGCGAGCAGAGCAGCACGGAGTGGGAGGGCGAGGGCGAGGCCGACGACGACGACGAGGGCTCGGGCGCGCGCGCCGCCTGGGACGCGTGCGACGAGCCCGCGCCCGGCGCCACCTACGTCGCTACGGTGAGTCGCCGCGTGACGCTCGAGTGCATTTGAAAAACATAACGCCTCTTTTTAACTCGCCCGGCTGATTTGACTTTCCGACGTAATGCATCAATAATGATCACGCAGGTGGTGGCGATGGACGCCGACGCGGGCGCCAACGGCACGGTGCGGTACTCGGCGCGCGCCCGCGGCGCCGCGCGCGGCCTGCTGCGCGTGCACGCGACCTCGGGCCGCCTGCTCGCCGCTCCTCGCCTCCCGCTCGCGCCGGAAACCTCGTATGACATCACCGTACGTTCATTACGTCTAGTCAGTTCAGTCGCTGAGAATATTTTGTGAGCGTTCCGAACACTCATAAAACGTGTCACGTCGTGCAGGTGCGGGCTTGCGACGGCGCGCCGCGGCCGCGCTGCGGCGTGACGCGCGTGAGCGTGCGCGGCGTGGCGGTGGCGCGCGGGGGGGGGGCCCGCCCGCGCTGCCCGCGCCGCCGCCGCTGCAGGTGGCCGAGCTCGACCCGCCCGGCTTCCTCCTCACCGTCCTGCAGGCCACGGACCCCGATCAAGACCGATTGTATTACGACATCGTGGGTGAGTTACGAAACATCCACAGAAACTACTCCAAGAAGTTTTTTTTTATTATTATTTTATCCACAACGAGGAAGCTCTTGGCCTGCATCTCACCTGATGGTAAGTGACGATCAGGCCGAAGGTGGAAGCGAGCTTCACCCGTCTTAAAATAACTCAAAACGATTGTAATCGTAGGGGGGGACGAGCGCCAAGAGTTCTACATCGGGCGCGAGGACGGCAGCCTGGTGCTGGCGCGGCGCCTGCTGTGGGAGCGCCAGCCGCACTACGCGCTCAACGTGTCCGTCACCGACGGCCAGCACACCGTCTACGCCACCGTGAGTTCGCTGCAAATCTGCGTCATCTTCGAATCTTTTAAAATTCAGTCGTATTAATGGCGAACTAAAATTCACCAGGTGAACGTGACCGTGATCAACGACGCGAACGAGGGCGGCGTGACGTTCTCGCTGGAGGAGTACGTGGTGGAGACGTCGGAGGCGCGGCGGCCGGGCGAGGCGCTGGTGGCGCTGCACGCGGCCGGCGCCGGCCGCCTGCTGTACGGGCTGCACGCGGCGAAGGCCACGCATTCGCTGCCGCTGTTCAGGCTCCACGAACTCACGGGCGTGCTCGAGCTGGCTCAACCTCTCGATCGGTGAGTCGAGCTCTCTCCGTTTTCGTACTCGTGATTTGAATTTCGAGCGCTATTTTAATAAAGTTCTGTCATTCTTTACGTCAAATCATTCTTTACTTCACGTTCACAGCGAGAGCGCCGAAGTACACGAGCTGACGGTCTGGGCGCGCGACCAAGCGCCGCGCGCGTCTCGGGCGTTCGCGCGCGTCACCGTGCGCGTGCACGACGCCGACGAGCACGCCCCCGAGTGGGGCCGACGGCTGGCGGAGGCGAGGCTGCCTCGGAACGCGCCGGCCGGCGCCCTGGTCGCCGCCCTGCGCGCCGCCGACCGCGACGCGGGGGACGCCGCGCGCATCGCCTACTCGCTGGCCGGCGGCGACGCCGACGGCGCCTTCGAAGTGGACCCGGCGTTGGGCGACGTNGGCGACGTGCGCCTGGCGCGCGAGCTGCCCGCGCGCGGCCCGCGCGAGTACACGCTGCACGTGCGCGCGGCCAACCCGCCGCCGGCCGCGCGGTCTTCGACGCTGCCGCTGCACGTGATCGTCGTGGAACCCGACGACGCGCCGCCCCGGTACGAGTGCCCGTTCGATGTTTAACTTGGCGATAAAAACTACCGTTCAAAAACCAAACCGTTCGAGCCTCGCTCGCGATCGATAGCGGAATACTGACGGCTCCCTCTCCGCAGGTTCGTGACGAGCGACATCGTGTGCGAGGTGTACGAGAACGAGCCGGCGGGCGCCGCGCTGGCGGCGGCGGAGGCGCGCAGCTCGAGCGCCGTGTGGTACGCGCTGGAGGGCGGCGCGGGGCTGTTCCGCGTCAACCCCGCCGCCGGCCTGCTGGCCACCGCCGCGCCGCTCGACTACGAGGCCGCCAGCTTCTACAACCTCACCGTGCTCGCCGTCAACATGGTGCGTGCCCCGGATCGAGGCTCGATCGCGACCGTTGCGCGTTGGGGCGGCCCTGACGGGGCACACGGGGGACTTTAAGCACTCTTAAAACTACCCATTTGATGCCACCGCAACTGACTGACTGAGTCTCTTGTGAAACCAATAATTTAGTCATAGTCATATATGTTTATTGCATCATGTTGGTACATTTGGATCTTAAATATTAATACAGAGTCCCGAAACATGGCCCTGTAAGGGCATTGCAACTTTATAGGTACATACAATATTTATTTATTTATTAGGTCTACCAACATATTAAAATCTAAATTATCAAAATAACAATATTACAGACAATTGCTTAGGTATATTTATTTATTTATCTAGATTTGAGATCAAAGAATTCTTTTAACGTGTAGAAACATTTACTTAGTAGCCATTCTTTTAATTTTTTACAAAACAAATTATCTTTTTCAATGCCTTTTATTTCCTTAGGTATCATGTTATATATTTTTACTGACATATAACGTGTAACTAGTCTATTTCTATGTCTAAGGTTTCTTTCCTGAGGATAGAGATCTTTGGCTTGGGAATATTCATGACAATTTTTTCTGACAAGTTTACATATTTCTATAATAATAATATACAAAGAGGCGAGTGTAAGAATGTTAAGTTTTATTGTAGTTTATGGGACTCGATCTGTTCCAGACCTCAACTAGGCTCTAATATGCTCAATGTATTCATTATTAGGGAGGAGGCACAGCCCGAGCGCACGTGGCCGTGCACGTGCTGGACCGCAACGAGTTCGCGCCGACGCTCCGCAAGCGGGAGTACCGCGGCCGCGTGTCGGAGGCGGCGGCGGCGGGCGCGCTGGTGGCGGACGGCGACCCGGCGGCCGGGCTGGGCGCGCCGCTGGTGCTGGCCGCCGACGACGCCGACTCGCCCGCCAACCGGCAGCGCGCCTACGAGGTGCTGGAGCCCGCGGCGGCGGCGCTGTTCCGCGTGGACCCGACCACGGGCGCGCTGCACATCGCCGCTCCGCTCGACTACGAACGCGCTCCGCGTCACGAGTTCACTGTCAGGGTGAGCCGGTTGTCATATTTTTTGGTTTGATATTTTATTTATTTATTTATTAGGTACACCAACAAAGTCACATACATAATACAGTTCATACATTTTAACATGGTTTAACACATGATGCGTATATGACCTCTTATTACAAGTAAGTATACACAGCATTTCTTTTTGCAATGTTAGGGTAATTATACACTAGTAAAACAAAAATCAATTGAATAGAGTCATTAAATGTGATTATTTATTATTTTTAATTGTGATTTTTCTCTTTTGAACGTTATCGTCGTCTCGTCAGGTTTTAGACGCTGGCTCGCCGCGCTTGCCGTCGGACAGCGTCGCTCGCGTCACCGTAGACGTGATCGATGTGAACGACTGCCCGCCCGCGTTCGAGCACGCGTCCTACGAGGCGACTGTGCTTTTACCGACATCGAAAGGAGTGGTCGTCACGAAAGTTTCCGCGACCGATCCGGATCCGCCGCAAGACGGCAGCATCAAATTTGACGTCATCGAAGGCGACGAAGGCGGAGCGTTCGCTTTATCGAGCGACGGGACTCTGTCCATAGCGAAACCGGACGACCTCGCCGATTCATATCGACTGAGAGTTCGGGCGTCCGACGGCCTGTACTCGAGTACGGCACGAGTGGAAATAAAGGTGCGAGAAATAGAAAACTCGGGCCTCGCCTTCCAGAAATCGGACTACTACGGTTCGATCGTGGAGAATTCAACAAAACCGACTCTGATCGCCGTACTGAACGTTCTCGGCGCCGCTCTCAACGAGCACATTGAATTTTTCATACTCAATCCTGTGGAAGGATTCGAAGTGAGTTATTTTAATTTTACCATGAAATTACTAACTTTCTTTCTATTTAATTTTTAAATTAATACTTCACTTTTTCTTATATATCCTACTGTTTTACTGCATGCTAAATTTTTGTTTTGAATTGTATCCATCTCTGTTATTTGTGAAAACAGTTCAAGGCATATTTGATATAAACTTCCTTATCTATTTTATTTATTTATTTATTTCCACACACATTATCACTATCTTTACAGGTACTTAAAACCTAATGCGATAGCATAACTTAACCTAGGTAGGCTTAATAATAACGATTTATTTATTACATATGTTAAAAATAAATAAATAGTAAAACTTTCGAAACAACCATCCGCCGTCTTGTGGGTCACGATGTGGTAACGCAACGGAACGCACCCGCAGGTGGGGCGCACGTCGGGCGCGGTGCGCAGCACGGGGCTGGCGCTGGACCGCGAGCGGCGCGCCGCGCACGAGCTGCTGCTGGAGGCGCGCGGGCGGCAGCGCGTGGCGCGCGCGCGCCTGCACGTGGCCGTGTCCGACGTCAACGACAACTGCCCCGTGTTCGTGGAGCGGCCCTACGTGGCGGCCGTGCGCGCCGGCGCCGAGCCCGGCACGCCCGTGCTGCGCGTGCGCGCCCTCGACCTCGACGCCAACGACAACGGCGAGGTGACGATTTATTATTTTCTTTACACGATGACATACGTATCAATAAAATGTAAATGACACCGTATATTCGATACCTTGATGTGACTTTGTGTCACTGGTGTCATTCATACATAATGAGGGCTATCGTTTTAGCGCTCACTAGTTAGCGCCACTGTAGAGTAAGGTCCTGTCACTTGCTAGTAGCGAAGACAGTGGCACCAACTGGTGAGCGCTAAAGTGGTAGGAGGACTATCGCATTTGCACTCATCAAGATGGCGCCACTGTAGAGTAAGGTCCTGTCAATCGCCAGGGGTGCCAACTGTTAAGTATAAAAACGATAGGCCTGATTAGACTCACCTCGTGCTGATTGCGTTTTAAACAGGTCATTATTTTGTGCCTCCATAAATTAAAATATTGATTGGATTAAATATTATAACGATTTTGCAGGTCCGATACGAGATGAAACGCGGTCACGGGGAGCTGTTCCGCGTGGACCGAGGAACGGGGCAGATCACGCTCAAGCAGACGGTGGACGCGCACAACCAGCTGTACACGCTGGTGATCGCGGCCTTCGACGGCGGCGCGCCGGCGTGCGGCGCCGACGCGGCGGTGGCGGTGCGCGTGTGGGGCGGCGGCGCGGCGCCGGCGTGGGAGCGCGCGCACTACGAGCTGGCGGCGCGCGAGGACGTGCCGCCGGGCGAGCCGCTGGCGCCGCCGCTGCGCGCGCTGTCGCCGCTCAACCGCCAGCTCATCTACACGCTGGTCGACGACCCCGCCGCCCCNCGTCGACGACCCCGCCGCCCCAGGCCCGCCCGCCTCGGACCTCTTCGAAGTCCTCTTCGACGCAGGTGGGTGGCGACTCGACGTGGGGAATGTGTCGGTGTGATCGTTGCTCTCGTTGAATGACCGATGGGGACGGTTGAATTGACGGTTCGGCTTTGAATGCTAGATACCTATCTCGGAAATTCTCTTACCTTTCCGAATGTTGGACGTTTTATGTTCAAAACCGCAGCCTGATAATATTGAGCGGTGAATTAGCCAGTAGCGTAGTGGTGTACCGATTAGCGCCTCACTAACGTATCGGTTTTGTCCCGCAGCACCCGACAGAGGCAATAGTCCATGTGAGTATCCGGGCGTGCGTCCCTCCCCGCGGCCTCGGCGCCTTCGAGCGCCCGTCTCTCGACCGCTGTCGTTGTGTTGCTTGTGCATGGGTCACCGAGAGCTGCATGCTTTCTACTCCCGACAGCCTACTTCAAACGTCTTCATTTCACTCTCGATCATCTCCAACATTGACGATAGCATCTCGGTGGATTCTATTCCTTTAATCAGAAGTGTCATTTTTACAGACGTTCACGTCATTCTCACTGTACATAAGAAGCACATTTATTCCTATCATCGCAAGAAGCATCGCCTGTATTTTAAGTTTATGCAAATTGTATTTTTGTCATTTTAAAATCATTTTATATTTTCAATGCTTTGTTTTGCTGTACCCGCTTGTAAATATCTCAAAGTAGACTCGCTCACACGAAGTTTAATGAATATCAAAACTATCACGTAAAATATTTGTACTGAATTTAAATTTAAAATTACATTGTTTTGTGTATGGTATTTTTGTTGCCATATTAGTACTTACGCATTCGAAAGTTTCGTTGAATAGAAACGCATCGTGCAGTTAGTACCTAATCAGTATCAGCCTTCGTGTGAGCGTCGTCTAAAGACGTGTGGCCATAACGGGTGCGGTGCGCAGGCGTGCTGGTGGCGCGCGCGGCGCTGGACTACGAGCGCGCGCGCTCGCACGCGCTGGTGCTGCGCGCCACGGACGGCGTGACGGGCGCCTTCGCCGACGTGGCCGTGACGCTGCGCGTGCTCGACGTCAACGACTGCGCGCCCGAGCTGGCGCGCGACGTGTACCGCGCCGCCGTGTCCGAGGCCGCGCCCGTCGGACACCTGGTCGTGGCCGTGCGCGCCACCGACAACGACACGGGTGAGATTCGCTTTTGTTAACTATTTGATAAATTTCTTCAAATAATGCCCCCATAACAGGTGGTTTTTATTACTGTTGTGATAGGGATATAGACATGCGATTTTTGGTTTTACAAAGATAATACGATAGAGAATAATACAAAGTAATAAAAACCACATGTTTTGGAGAAATTCATCAAATAACCAAAAAAACACGAATTTAAAAGCAGATTTTTTTCAAAAAGTATCTTTTTTATTATTTGTTTTTCATTTTCTAAGTATTTTATGTATTTAATTAGTATTTCCTGTTATTTAGAATTATTACCGTTTTTATTTTATCAGGATATACCCCTTAGTTAAAAAGTTATTACGTTTTCTCTACAATAAGTAATTGAAAGAAAAAAAAATCTATAATTTAAAAAAAAAATCTCAAAAAATTTTTGACCTCTTTTTTGTCGACAAAAATAGGTCTAGTTTCACCTATTTTCATATGTGCACTTTAACGTGACTCACACTGTATACGTTATAGCGGAGTGCGTTATTATGGAGTTCGTTTCTTTGAGAGTCGAAGGAGTACAGTTTATTTTCCTCCTGTAGGAGTGAACGGCGAAATCCGATATTCCTTGAGCGGGTACGACGACGGCTCGGCCGTGCCGGAGTTCAGCGTGGACCCGGCGATGGGCGACGTGCGCGTGGCGGCGCCGCTGGACTGCGAGGCGCGCGCCGCCTACCACCTGCTCGTCACGGCCGCCGACGCCGCCCGCCCGCCGCTGCTCACCACCGCTCATCTCTTCATCACTGGTGAGACTCGATACATTTTATAATACACTAAAACAACACTAAAACCCGTTTTCGCAACATTTTTCATTGTTGCTCTGCTTCTATTGATTGTAGCGTGATGTCTTATAGCCTATAGCCTTCCTCGATAAATGGGCTATATAACACTGAAATATTTTTTCAAATCGGATCAGTAGTTCCGGAGATTAGCGCGTTCAAGTAAACAAACAAACAAACTCTTCAGATTTATAATATTAGTATAGATTCGATACAAAATAAAAGCTAAAAGTGTAAGTTTTACAAAAGAAGCAGTAAATTGATCTATTTTTTTATTATTTTGTTCACAGTGGACGACGTGAACGACAGTCCACCTCGGATGGAGCGCGGAGTGGTCTCGGTGGTCGTTTCGGCGGAAGCGGCGCGAGGAACGGCGGTCGGGCGCGTCGCCGCCTGGGACCCCGATTCTAGTGACGCACCACGACTGAGGTAATGTAAAAACGCTTCTCTATCCGGAAGGTAGATTGTAATTTGACACCGATTAAGTAGGTAATGTGCATGAATTATTATACAGGTTGTCCCAAAAAGGAGTGTCAAGCCGAAGCCCAGAGGTAGAGCATCACTAGGGCTATCCAAATCACTCCCATGTACGTATGTTCCGCGATTTTTACTAGTTTTTACGAAGTACTTACATCCACAACACGAATATAAACTAAAATTATGTTGGATATACTAAATAACTAAAATGTTGTAAAAAAAATCTTTACTCGAAAACTAGGTATCTAAAGTCACGGTGATTTGGGTAGCATCACTAGGATGCTCTAACTTCTGGGCTTGAGACTACTTTTTGGGACACCCTGTATATCGACGATATCTTCCTCGACACAGATACGCGTTGGCCGGGGCAGGCATGCCGCACCACGCGTTCGCCGTGCACCCGCGCACCGGCGTGCTGACGCTGGCCAACACGCGCGCCTGGGCCGCGGCCGGCGCCGGCGGGGCCAGCCCGCGCTCGCTCAACGTGTCGGCGTCGGACGGCGCGCACGCCGCCTTCGCGCGCGTCAAGCTCGCGCTCGCGCCCGCCAACCGGGAGCCTCCGCACTTCCCGCATCTCGTCCACGAAGCTCGCGCGCTCGAAAACCAGCCGCCTCCGCTGCTGCTCACCACTGTAATGAAACATTCTTCTTCTTCTTTTCAGCCAAATGACGTCCACTGCTGGACAAAGGCCTCCCCCAAGGTTTTCCACAATGAACGGTCCTGCGCTGCCCGCATCCAGGCTCTTCCCGCGACCTTTACCAGATCGTCGGTCCATCTAGTAGTAGGCCTGCCCACGCTACGTCTTCCAGCCCGTGCTCGCCACTCGAGAACTTTCCTGCCCCAACGGCCATCGTCTCTACGAGCTATGTGCCCCGCCCACTGCCACTTGATTTTAGCAATTCTGCGAGCTATGTCGGTTACTTTGGTTCTCCTGCGGATCTCCTCATTTCTGATTCGATCACGCAGGGAAACTCCGAGCATAGCCCGCTCCATCGCCCTTTGGGTGACCTTGAGCCTTCTTATGAGGCCCATAGTAAGCGACCACGTCTCAGATCCGTATACCATCACTGGCAACACGCATTGGTCAAATACTTTCGACTTGAGACACTGCGGTATTTCAGACGTGAGTATATGGCGAAGCTTCCCGAACGCTGCCCATCCGAGTTGGATTCGACGATTGACCGAATGAAACATTATCGAACGTTAATTTGTCACGATCGACCGCGTTCGCCGTTTTCATTCACGCGATCGATCGGTTTCAGGTGAAAGCGTACGACGACGATCCCGGCGAGTACGGCACGGTCACCTACTCGATACCGTCCGCTCGGCTCCGCGAGACGTTCGCCGTGGACGCCGCGAGCGGCGCGCTGACGGCCCGCGTCCCGCTGGACCGCGAGCGGCGCGCCGAGTGGGAGGTGCCGGTGACCGCCAGCGACGGCGGCGGGCTGCTGCGCCACACGACGGTGCGCGTGCGCGTGGCCGACCTCAACGACAACGCGCCCGTGTTCCCGCACCGCGAGTACCGCGCGGCCGTCGCGCACGACAAGCCGCCGGGCGCGCCCTTCCTCACTCTCGCGGCGTCGGACGCGGACGCGGGCGATAACGCGCGTCTGTCGTACTCGGTGTACGAGGGCGACGTGCGCACCGACGCCAGCGGCCTCTTCGCCGTCGATCCTCACACCGGGGCACTGTCCTTCGCGAGAGACGCTTCTGGCTTTGGTGAGTGCACGGTTTTGAGTTACTTTTTTTACCTCTTAAATTGCATCTCACTTAGGCTGACTTGCACCACCTAACTTTGACCGTAACTTTAACGATAACCGATGCTTTTTGTATGGAGTTTGACAGATTTTTGACGTTTGTATAAGTTTTAAGATGGTGCAACTCAGCCTTAGTGTGACGAGTGCGATTACGGTCAAACAACTGCATTGTTCTGCATTAAAAAACTCATGGTTAAGTTTAATTAAATATTATAATTTGTTTATTCCAGCGTCACGGTCGGTGCAAGTGTGGGTGAGGGCTCGCGACGGCGGAGGCCTGGCCGGCGAGGCCCCAGTGTCAGTCTACGTGTTGGGTCCGGGCGAAACGGCTCCGCGAATACACGCGCCGCCTCCCGATCTCTTCCTGCCCGAAGATGCCGCCCCGGGAACCCTCATCGCGGAGCTACGAGTGCCCGAGTCGCCCGACGCTCCGGAGAGCACAGACTCCAACGAGGCGGCGGATTCACCCTCCCCGAGGTTCAGGCTGGCTCCGGGGCTGTGGCCGCGGGACCTGTTCGCCGTGGACTCGTCCGGGCGACTCGTTCTCGCCGGACAACTCGATCGGGAGACTGCCGCGGAGCACATCATCGGTGAGTGCGTCCGAGGGTACCCATCGAACAGTTTTGAAAACACCGAGCGTGAAGTAATACAGTGTGAGTCACGATAAAGTGCACATATGAAATTAGGTAAAACTAGACCTATTTTTATCGACAAAAGAGAGGTAAATTTTTATTTTTTATTACTTTGTACGCGTGTATCCCGTTTTACTCCCTTAGAGGTTGAATTTGCTCCCTTTGACGTTCGTAAAAAGATAAGACAACTTAGTGTTCAGAAATGCAGTCGGAGGCATCAATGACTACCTAATTCTATTGTTGGTGATGTATTTGATGCCTCCGACTGTATTTGTGAACACTAAGTTGTTTCTATCTTTTTTGTTGATTTTTACGCAGTTGGATTTTTGGTTTATCCAATAATAATTTTATTTTAATCTTCACACATCAATATTTTGTATTTCGTGACACATTTATTTTTTGTTTTATAATGAACTTTTATCGTGTCGTCGACACAGGCATCATCCTGGAGGGCTCGGGCAGCCCGGCGCCGGCGAGCATGGCGCAGACGCGGCTGCACGTGCTGGACGTCAACGAGCACGCGCCCGCCTTCCACGCGCAGCCCTACGTCGTGCACGTGGCCGAGAACACGCCGCCGCACTCCAGCCTCGTGCAGCGTGAGTTGGCTATGTAGCTTCGTCGAAAAGCTGGAGCCTGAAGCACGCAACTAAGCTTTCATTTATTTCATTTAATGATTTCTATTTAATAGGACAACCGAAAAGACTCACACCGAAACCATCTTGGCAATGTTTTGAACGTTGTTTTGTAATGTGGACCTAAAAATTGGTAGCCTCGACTAATAGTCCCATTTATGTAACCTTATGTATTTTATTTATCCGCAAAATTTCCTTTTTCAGTGATGGCAGACGATCCAGACTCGGGCTCCAACGGCGAAGTACGATTTTCACTGGCCGGTGAGGGCGAGGAAGGGACCGCATCCACCAGCCTGTTCGCCGTGGATCCGTACAGGTAGGCATTATTTCTGTCCGTATCAAACGTTCTAGAGAAGTTAGAAAAGGATACCGCATCGCTTCCAGCCCACTGAGTCAGACACATGTTTATGCTATCTTTACAGGGAAAGCCTGATGCTATAGTCTGGTCCGTGAGCACGTAGAATTTTGTCCAATGACCCCTAGCTACCCATCCTTATCGCTCGCGTGTAACTATGTTGCTATCGCGCTCGCACACTCACTGCGGGTGCCCGTCGCACAGTCGCGACAGCAATATAATTACTCGCGAGCGATAAGGATGGGTAGCTAGGGGTCATTGGACAAAATTCTACGTGCTCACGGACCGGGCTTTATATGATTTATTTAAAAGCGGTCCGATTTATTGTTCAATTCCGGTCGGCACAGCGGCTGGGTGACGACGACGGGCGCGCTGGACCGCGAGGCGCGCGCCGAGCACCGCCTGGCGCTGCTGGCCGCCGACAGCGCCGCGCCGCCCGGCCGCCGCACCGCGCGCGGCACGCTCGTCGTGCGCCTCGTCGACTACAACGACTGCCCGCCCGCCTTCCTGCACGACGACTACGACGCCGAGGTGAGCTCGCACTCCGTGGCGCTTCGAAACAAATTCAATTATCCAGTCGTTCCTGCCCAAGGCGTAATGTGCCTAAACGAGGTTTGATAGCATCACCGCTCAATATTATTAAGTCGTTGACTGCCGAAATACGTGTTCATCATCATCATCATTTCAGCCATAGGACGTCCACTGCTGAACATAGGCCTCCCCTAATGCTTTCCACGTTGATCGNTCGTTCCTGCCCAAGGCGAAATGTGCCTAAACGAGGTTTGATATCATCACCGCTCACTATTATTAAGTCGTTGACTGCCGAAACACGTGTTACATTTTTATTGTTCGAGTTCACCGATGAGCCGCGTGGTGTTAAATTATTAATATTATTTATTTATAGATTGTATTGTATTATAGGTTCGGAAACAATTTTTTCTTATTTAATTTTGTTCGGAACACCGACGGCTCCAAGTACGGAACAAAGGGACACTCAATTATTCCTACTTAGAAATTTAAGGAAAGCGAGTAACACTCATACACAGTGAGTGATAACCTCAGATCATAGAAGGGGAATAGATATGAACTCGCGCGTAACTACAACGAGAACCAGTGTCCCCACATTTCCCCCACTACAGCTCCCACACACACATTCAACTGTGTAAAAACAAAGCGATTGACAGTCCACGACAATAGGCGCAAAAATGCAATGATTGGCCATAAGGCACTTCACGCACACTTTGAAAACGCTAGTGAGAGAAGAAAGATAAAATGGAGTCGATCAGATATCGATACTTTAAATGGTTGGGGGCAAGGTTCGAAACTGGTTTAAAAAAATGCTTATGTATGAAAACCTTTTTATTATTATACGTTATTATTAACTACTATCACGCATTAACTTTTTAATTTTGGCGAAATTCGTACCGCATATGTTTATCAAAAATATTGCCTATATTAGGCTTTCAACTAGCTCATATAGTAATTACATAGTTGACAGTTACTAATTACATCTACTGTTATTATTGTTTTTGTAAAATTGAACGACTGAATCGCGACTAACCTGGCTTCGCGGTCGATGTTCGTTTCTGGGCATATCGCGGAGACACGCGCCACGCCCCCGTTTCACATCTATTCCCTTCTATAATCTCTTCCTACCGCGGGGGCAGGTGCCGGAGGACGCGGCGCCGGGCACGGTGGTGGCGCGGCTGGGCGTGCGCGACGCGGACGCGGCGGGCGGCGCGCTGGCCTTCTTCGTGGCGGACGGCGACCCGCGCGCGCGCTTCCAGCTGCGCGCCTCGGGCGAGCTGTTCGTGGCGCGCGCGCTGGACCGCGAGGCCGCCGCGCTCTACCGCCTCAGCGTCGCCGCCACCGACGGCAAGTTCACGGCCTACACGCGCGTGCGCGTCGTCGTGCTCGACGTCAACGGTGAGTTCGCCACGAACGCTGTCGCAGGCACGGACTGCAAGTTCAATAATAAAGTAAAGATACAAAGAAAATTTTATTCACACACATTTGAATTTGTGCAAAATTATATGCATTAATTTATTTCTACCAACACTGTTACATAACAACATGTACACTTAAAAATAACAATTATGAACAACAATTATAGGCTGACACAACAAATTAATTATAAATTATTATATACTCAAAAAAACTCGTAAATAACATTTATTTCTGCAAATAGGCTTTAAAAAAGCACTTTTACACGTCCCAGTATTAACCCTACCACTGCTTCAGGACAATAAATGGGCCAGTGTTGAGAAGAGGCAGCGCAAGAAACTCAGACACTATTGTCAGCCTTTAAAAATACATAGTTATAAACTTCTCATAATCGACAGACAACCCGCCGTACTGCCTCCGACACCGGTACTACGCCGAGCTGCCGGAGGACGCCGCCAACGGCACCCGCGTCATGCAGCTGGCGACGGGCGACGCCGACGAGCCCGCCGACCCGCAGCTGCGGCACTTCCTCACCGGGGACTTCGCGCACCACTTCGCCATCGACAAGGTACGGCGACTTATCCTGTTTAGCCCGAAGGTTTACTGGCAGATAATGCCCGATGACATTGAGTTCGTTTTATGTACCGACTTTATGGCATTAATAAACAAAACTTCCCGAACGGCGTCGACCTCGATCACATCGATCGTCGATCTCAACTCAACCCGATGTGACTGAAACTTTTTTTTATTTTTTTTATTTACTGATTTCTTGTGTGATCGTTTATCATTTTAATAACTTTTTGTTTCCCAAATATGAATAAATAAATGACGTACGTCCGTTGTGGGGGCGCAGGAGAGCGGCGTGGTGACGGTGGCGGCGGCGCTGGACCGCGAGACGCGCGCCGCGTACCGGCTGCGGGTGCACGCGCAGGACCGCGCGCGGCCCGCCTGGGGCTGCTCGTCCGAGCTGCTGCTGCGCCTGCGCGACGCCAACGACAACGCGCCGCGCTTCTCCGCCGCCACCTACACCGTCACGCTGCCCGAGGACGCCGACGTCGGCACGCTCGTGGCCAAGGTAGGTGGCGCCTCACACCTCGCCCAGGAGTGATTGTACCCTGTTCTACAAAAAAAACTGACTGTCATTCGCTACGATCGCTTCCGAGCTTCGATCGAATGCCGCAGTCGCTGTTGATTGTCGTTTTCGTTTGCAGGTTCACGCTACGGACGCGGATCTCGGAGAAAATCGTCTGGTGCGCTACTCGTTCGTTGACGAGTCGACGGAGGCGTTCGAGCTCGCGGCCGACAGCGGCATCATCACGCTGCGCGCTCCTCTGGACCGCGAGACGCAGGCCGAGCACCGGCTCGTGGTGCGCGCGCGCGACCGCGGCGACCCGCCGCTCTCCGCCACCGCCACCGTCCGCCTCACGGTCGCGGACGTCAACGACAACCCGCCCGAGTTCGAGTTCCACCAGTACCGAGCTGTCGTCCCCGAGATCGACGCTCCCGGCACCGAGGTGCTCCGCGTGCGCGCCACGTCCCGGGACGCCGGCGTCAACGCCGACGTCTACTACTCGCTCATCGGCGGCGACGGCCGCGATGACTTCGCCGTCGATCACTCGAGCGGTGTTCTGTCCATCGCCCGACCACTCGATTATGAACGAAGGAGAGAATACGCTCTTACCGTGCAAGCGATCGACGGTGGCTCACCGCCCCTCAGCGACCGCGCATCGATTAACGTAACCGTATCGGACAGCAATGACAACGCTCCGTCATTTTCGCAAGAATCTTACGGAGCTCGAGTTCGCGAGGACGCCGAGGTCGGTGCGCGAGTTTTGCAAGTGATAGCGGATGACGCGGACTCGGGAGCCAACGGCCGCGTGGCGTACTCCATCGCCCGCGGTGACCGCGATGGACAGTTCACCGTTGACGCTGACACCGGCTACATTTCCGTGGCGTCTCCGCTCGATCGAGAAACCATTCCGGCTTACGTTCTCGAAGTGAGAGCACGCGACAGAGGTGTGCCGTCTCTAGAAACCACGACGTTGGTAAATATTGAAGTTGTCGACGCCAATGACAACCCGCCTCTTTTCGCTCAGACAAACTACACGGCCGTCGTTCAAGAAGATCGACCACTGGGACACACCATCATCAAATTTGAAGTGCAGGATGCTGATGCACCTCCGAACGGCGCTCCATACACATTTGACTTTCAATCTGGCAACGAGATGGGAGCTTTCCGACTGGAGCAAGATGGTTACTTGCGCTCGGCGACTCGATTCAATCACCGTATCAAGGACCGCTATGCACTGCAAATTAGAGTATTCGATAACGGTACTCCACCACTGTTTTCTGATGCCTGGGTGTACATAAGGGTGATCGAAGAGTCACAGTATCCACCCGTTATAACTCCGCTCGAAATCATCGTAAACTCCTACCTCGACGAATTCCCTGGAGGGACCATAGGACGAGTCTTCGCATCGGACCGCGACGCTTATGATACCTTAACGTACGCGATCGCCCCCGTGGACGGGGCCCCTTATCCTCCCACGGATCTTTTCGAAATCGATCCCAAGAACGGAACGTTGCGTGCGGCGCCGCGACTCGACGTCGGTGATTATCGGCTCAACATCACAGTCGACGACGGCAAGTTCATCAGTTTCGCGATAGTGCGCGTCGCCGTCGTGCTGATCTCCGACGAGATGCTCGCGCAGGCGGTCGTCGTGCGCTTCCGCGAGGTCACCGACCGGGACTTCGTCCTCAGCCACCGCAAGGGCTTCCTGCGGGCCGTCGCCGAAGCGACCGACTGCGACCCCGCCGACGTGGTCGTGGTCAGCGTCCAGCCGTCGGGCGAGACGAGCGAGGACGAGCCCCGGCGAGAGAGGCGGCAGGTGGCCCAGGACCTGGACGTCGCCTTCGCGGTGCGCACGGCCGCCGACGGAGGCGGCTTCCTGCCCGCCGACGCGCTGCGGCGCCGCCTGCACGCGCACCTGGAGCGGCTCGAGGAGCGCACGCGGCTGGTGGTGGAGGAGCTCGTGCGCGTCGCGTGCGGCGGCTGCGCGCACGGCGCCTGCGTGGAGCGCGTGGCGCTGCGCCCCGGCGGCCTGCGCGCCGTGGCCACCGACGTGTTCGCGCTGGTGGCGCTGCCGCACCGGCTGCGCGGCGAGTGCGCGTGCGCGCCCGGCTTCGGCGGCGAGCGCTGCGACCGGCCGGCCGGCGAGCGCGAGCCGGGCGACGCGGGCGAGGGCGCGCCGGGCGTGGCGCACGTGGCCGGCGACGGCTACCTGGTGTACCGGCTGGAGCGCGGCGTGGTGGCCGGCGAGCGGCTGCTGGACGACGAGCTGACGCTGTCGCTGCGCTTCCGCACGCGGCGCGAGCGCGGCACGCTGCTGCAGGCGGCCGGGCGCGTGGACTACGCCGTGCTGGAGGTGGCGGAGGGGCACCTGCAGTTCCGCATGGAGCTGGGCTCGGGCCCGGCGCTGGTGCGCGCGTCGGTGCCGGTGGCGGACGGCGCGTGGCACGAGGCGCGGCTGGAGCGGCGCGGCGCGGCCATGCGGCTGACGGTGGACCGGCGCAGCGCGCACGCGCAGACGCCGCCGCCCGCCGCCGTGCTGGACGCGCGCGCCGACCGCCTGCTCATCGGCGCCGCCCTCATGAGACACGCCCACGCCTTGGCGCCCGAACAGGTCAGCTCGATCGTTCACCTGCTCTGTTGAAACCGTTACATATTAGACAGTCCATTTATGTTAGTTCCAAAGTGGTGGTAGGGCAAACTATGACGTCATTCTTCCAGGTCTAATATCCGAGTCACCACACAAGGTCGGACTTACCGAGGAACGCGGGTTCGAATCCCGCCGCGGCTCGACTGGCAGGGTCGCCATATGAGGAGTTCATAATCAAACACCCGAACTGAGTCAATCCCGTTTATTGAATGCACGATAAAATACAATGAAGCGACTTAAATACTATAGGATAAATGAGCATACACATTAATACAAGGGTTGTTAGTACATACATCACATATTGTGGTGAGCCCACTCGTGACACAAGCATATATAGCTCAGTACGAGGGGTTTTAGTAGGTAATTGTTATTGTATAGTAATGATCAACGACTTGGTCGACAGGTGACGTACGGCTTCCACGGCTGCATCGCGGAGGTGCGTCTGGGCGGCGCGCTGCTGCCGCTGGAGGAGGGCGGCACGGCGGCGGACGGGCGCGCGCAGCTGCTGCGGCGCGTGCGCGTGCGCGTGGCCGCCGCCTGCCCGCCGCTGGCGCCGCCCGGGCCCTGCGCCTCCTACCCCTGCCTCAACGGCGGCACGTGCCGCGAGGCGCCCAGCCTGCTCGAGGCCGAGCCCGCCGGCAACGACCTCGAGGGCTACGCCTGCACCTGCCACGCGCGCTTCCTCGGGCCCAGATGCGAGGTGCGCTTTGCGGTTCAAAATTATACTTTGTGATGTTTTTTTAAAAAAAATATTTAATATTTAAGTATAACATTTTTCATAGCGGACATCTCTTCTGAAACTCAATAAAGACACAGGCGTCGTTATGTATGTGCAGGTGGACGCGGACCCGTGCGCGTCGCAGCCGTGCCTGCACGGCGGGTTCTGCGCGGCGGCGCCGGCGGGCGGGTTCCGCTGCGCGTGCGCGGGCGGGCTGGCGGGCGCGCGCTGCGAGCGCGGGCGCTGGTGCGCGCCGGGCGTGTGCGCGCACGGCGGCGCGTGCGAGGAGGGCGACTGGGGCCCGTCGTGTCGCTGCCGCGGCTACTACGGCCCGCGCTGCCAGTACGACGTGGACGAGTGCGCCGGCGAGCCCTGCCTCAACGGCGCCACCTGCCTCAACGAGCCCGGCTCCTTCCGCTGCCTCTGCCCGCCCGACAAGACCGGTGCGTTCGCTGTTCGGCGCTTGCCTTTTGAACAAAGGCTGAATTCGAGTCGCACTTCTGTATGAAACGACCGATGTCAGAATCTCTAGTTTAATTTTATTCGTTCACATAATTTATTTATTAGGTACACCGTCAAATTCACATACGGTTTGATACTTTTTAACATGGTTAATAACACACATTAGTATACTTATACAGCATTTCTTTTTGCAAGGTCAAAGTACAAATATCAATTAAATTGAATTTGAGCACCGAACAATATAAAGAATTCAGTATCGTTCATTTCGTTCGGTGCCAGATTCGTTTGAGTCGTATGACACGACTCTGTCTCTATCCTTCACGATATCGCTCTTTCAACGTACGATTTCAACCCGCAGGCATGAACTGCGGGAACCCGCTGTACTCGGACGCGGTGGTGGCGGGCGGCGCGGGCGGCGGCGGCGGCGCGCTGCGGGCGGCGTGGCGCTGGGCCTGCGAGGCGCGCTGGCCGCTCGCCGCCGCCGCCGCCGCGCTGCTGGCGCTGCTGCTGGCCGCCGTCGCGCTGCCGCTCGCGCTGCGCCGCCGCGCCCGCGCCGCACGCGTCACCGTTATTGTATAGTAATGATCAACGACTTGGTCGACAGGTGACGTACGGCTTCCACGGCTGCATCGCGGAGGTGCGTCTGGGCGGCGCGCTGCTGCCGCTGGAGGAGGGCGGCACGGCGGCGGACGGGCGCGCGCAGCTGCTGCGGCGCGTGCGCGTGCGCGTGGCCGCCGCCTGCCCGCCGCTGGCGCCGCCCGGGCCCTGCGCCTCCTACCCCTGCCTCAACGGCGGCACGTGCCGCGAGGCGCCCAGCCTGCTCGAGGCCGAGCCCGCCGGCAACGACCTCGAGGGCTACGCCTGCACCTGCCACGCGCGCTTCCTCGGGCCCAGATGCGAGGTGCGCTTTGCGGTTCAAAATTATACTTTGTGATGTTTTTTTAAAAAAAATATTTAATATTTAAGTATAACATTTTTCATAGCGGACATCTCTTCTGAAACTCAATAAAGACACAGGCGTCGTTATGTATGTGCAGGTGGACGCGGACCCGTGCGCGTCGCAGCCGTGCCTGCACGGCGGGTTCTGCGCGGCGGCGCCGGCGGGCGGGTTCCGCTGCGCGTGCGCGGGCGGGCTGGCGGGCGCGCGCTGCGAGCGCGGGCGCTGGTGCGCGCCGGGCGTGTGCGCGCACGGCGGCGCGTGCGAGGAGGGCGACTGGGGCCCGTCGTGTCGCTGCCGCGGCTACTACGGCCCGCGCTGCCAGTACGACGTGGACGAGTGCGCCGGCGAGCCCTGCCTCAACGGCGCCACCTGCCTCAACGAGCCCGGCTCCTTCCGCTGCCTCTGCCCGCCCGACAAGACCGGTGCGTTCGCTGTCCGTCGCTTGCCTTTTGTACGAAGCTCGGATACGAGCCGCACTTCTGTGTGAAGCGACCGATGTCAAAATTGCTAGTTTAGTTTTTTTCGTTCACATACTTTATTTATTACGTACACCATCAAAGTCACATACACGATTTAATACATTTTAACATGGTTAATAACACACGATGCGTATATGACCTCAATCACAGGTATAAGTACACAGCATTTTTTTTGCAAGGTTAGGGGACAAATCGAATTAGCAAGCTGAAGTGGCAATGGGCAGGGCACATAGTACGCAGAACTGACGGCTATTGGGGCAGCAAGATTCTGGAGTAGAAGCCAGTAGCTTACCAGAAAACGCAACGTGGGACGTCCACCCATAAGGTGGACCGACGACCTAATAAAGGTAGCAGGAAGGTGCTGGATGCAGGCCGCTACCAACCGTGCGATGTAGATATCATTGGGGGAGGCCTATGTTTAGTAGTGGATGTCCTATGGCTGAAATGTTGATGATGATCACCGAACAGTATGTACTCCCATACTATTAGGTACGGGCAGTACCCAACGATTTTCAGGATTTTCAACGATTTATAAAGGATTCAGTATCGTTCGTTTCGTTCGTTGCCTGAGTCGTTCCGACATATGACACGACACTATTTATTTATTTATTTATTTATTAATAGGTACAGTTACAGTACATAGAATACTACTTATTTAGTAAAAAATACATCTATCTCTATCCTTCACGATATCGCTTTTTCAACGTACGATTTCAACCCGCAGGCATGAACTGCGGGAACCCGCTGTACTCGGACGCGGTGGTGGCGGGCGGCGCGGGCGGCGGCGGCGGCGCGCTGCGGGCGGCGTGGCGCTGGGCCTGCGAGGCGCGCTGGCCGCTCGCCGCCGCCGCCGCCGCGCTGCTGGCGCTGCTGCTGGCCGCCGTCGCGCTGCCGCTCGCGCTGCGCCGCCGCGCCCGCGCCGCACGCGTCACCGCGCCGCCGCCGCGCTGCGACAAGCTGCCGCCCGCGCGCGCCTCCAAGCTGTCCAACCTCGAGGCCGTGGCCACGCGCCGCGAGCGCCCCGCCTCGTGCGCCGAGCCGCCGCTCAACAACGCCGACACGCTGCGCAGCTACGGCTCCGCCGGCGACGAGCTCGAGGGCATCCCGCCCGACTACCGCCGCAACCTCAACATCGAGCCCGCGCACGACCGCAAGCCCTGGTCGGAGCAGATGCACCTGCACACCTTCGTCGACAACAAGATTTACAACGGTGAGTCGATTGGATCGCCTCTCCGCGGAAACAAATATACATACGTAACACATAGATGTATTTACATACGCTGTGCTCCAAAAACGTACCTATCGTAACGTAACGTAACGATCGTACCATCTCTCGCAGCCGATAATTAAGATCGTGTCGTTCCAGATCTCAAAGGCAGCAAAAGCCGGTCACGAACCCGGTCGCCGGGCGCGCTGCGGCGCGGGCCGGGCGCGGGCGAGCCGCACCTGGTGGGCGGCTACCACTGGGACTGCTCCGACTGGTGCGGCGGCGGCGGCGCGCTGCCCGGCATCAGCGAGGTGCCCGGCTCCGAGCGCCCCGACTCCTCCTCGCCGCCCTCGCCGCCCTCGCCCCGCCGCCCGCGCGTGCGCCGCGCCGTCTCCGGCTCCGCCACCGACGACCTCGAGCTCGACCTCGACGCCGACCGCGACACCGACGCGTCGCGCTTCCCCGACGGTGAGTGCGCCGCCCCGCTCCGAGGCGTCCGCCCCGAGGAGCCCGCCGCGGTCCAGACCGAGGAGCTTATTCCTGAAATTGTGCTTCGCAGCGTCCTCGTACCTGCTCCACCCGGACGAGTATCTGCCGCACCCGGACGACTGCCGCTCGCAGCCGCCCTCGGACTCGGAGCCGCTGCGCGCGCGCGTGCTGCGCGAGCCGGACGCCGCCAGCCTGATCACCATGCTCGGTGAGTGCCCCCGCTGACCGAACCCTCTCGTTCGCAGCGGTGGTAGAGCGAGCTATGTATATTTGGGACGTGTATAAGCGCCCCGGAAAGGGCCCATGTGCTGAATAAAATATTACAATTTGAATTCGCAGAGGAGCGCGACTCGCTGCTCGGCGGCGCGGGCGCGGGCTCGTGCAGCGACCTGTCCACGAACCTGTGCGAGATCGAGGAGTCGGAGGCGGAGGAGGAGGCGGCGCCGCGCGCGCGACACACCGACGTGTGACGCCGGCGCGCGGCCGCCGCGCCGCCCCCGCCCGCCCCGCCCGCCCCGCCCCGCGGCCTCTAGCGGACCCCGAGCGAGACCGAGCGACGGTCTCTCCATGATGATTATGGAAAATAGTGTAGTTCCTCGTGTGAGGTGTAAATATGTACATTGTAGTCGTTAAGATTCGAGCGAGCGAGCGATCGGCCGTGTGCGATGGAGCGAGGCCGATTCGATTCAACCGACTGACGGACGCCCTTTCCGCAAGATGCGTACGCGTGAAAATATGGTGGTCGATGTTTGATTGACTGTGATCCTGGTGAGTGCTTGCGTTCTGTTGCGAATCACCGTTATGCGTCTGAACTTGCCATCATTATTTTTATAATAATAGTCATGATCGAATGAACAAAAAATTATGCTTCTCTAAAACTTAAATTCTAGTATTCGCGAATACTTACATGAGCTTAATTATAAAGGAATGGCGAAGCACCTTCAAAATGTGTATTAAAATTAGAACTAAACTCAAAAAAATATCTTTCTTGTATGTTTTTCATTTATCGATAAATCTCTTGCCGTTCATTTTCATTCGTATCTCCTTTTTAGTAAATTAAACATCTTGCATCTAATCGATCATTTTGTGTAGATGTTTATTTATTTCGTAGTATTAATTTTACGTATTTCGCGGGACCATACCGTAACTATAGCATTTATGTAATGTCACTACGTAGTATTACTACTTACTTTAGTTTATTGCGTATGTAACGAGCACAGACAGTGATTGTGTGAATGTTAGAGTGCGTCCGAGCGCGCCGCCGGCTCGCGGCGGACGCAGTGTAAATAGTGCGGTGTACATACGGAGACGCGCGGNGCGCGCGGCGGCGACCGCCGATAACGTTGTTATAAATTATAATGGTGCTCTGACTATAGGTTCATATCATAACTTTAAACTGTGCATTTATATAAAATCGTAGGATAAACGTTCTCCTTATAGGTTAGCGAATTACATTAAGCGATCTATTTTTATATGTATAAACATCGGTTAGAGATATCGCGGCGCCCGCGGGCCCGCCCCTTGTGATAGCACGTATCTTCCCGCGCGCTTGTTTGCTAATGCTCCGACTCCGACTTGAGTTCGTATCGATTCACAGAACCTCTATTATATTATATACTAATTAGCAAACGGTCGCGTCGATTCATTTTTTTACAAACTGATTTATTATTTATTGAATTTATTGTTGTGTAAATTTTGACACGACTAATAAAAAAATGGAATTATTAAGAATTTTATTTACTTTATTATCATACCCTACCCTATGTTATCTGGCTAGTAATTTATGTAACTACGAGTATTTCTGAAGTGCAGTAAATGTTACCGGCATCTCTGGCATCGGTATAATCCGGTATTCTATGCAATACCTAGGCAATGAATTACTTTGCCTAGGTATTGTGTACAGTGCGACATAAAAGGTACTAATACCCTTATTTACTAGCAACACTGATTTATTTGTACGTGTGTCAAGTGAACACTGTTTTAATTGAATTAAATTGTTTTTATACAATTTAATAATTTAATTCAATTTAAACTTTTGCGTGCTTGCTTTTGCGTGGACTTCACTTGCGTGAAATTTCTCTCATAATCATTATAAATTATTAGGTATATTAATAAAATTAGTTATTCTGGTGTATAAACAATTATACTGAAAAGTTTCATCAAAATCAGTTTAGCAGTTTTGACAATACAGAAAACAAACATGTTAATATTCATACAAACTTTCACATTTATAAATTAGTAGGTAATGGTTACTTTTTATAGTTACCTACTGTATAAAATATTAGTGTTTGTTTAAATAAATAATTTTGAAAATTTAATTAATAGTATAATTAAAAGTAACAATACTTTAAAAGCTACTTGAAAACCTAAATTTTAAAACAATATTTTATTTACAAGAAACTAATATACATTTTGTTATTGTTTGGAGTATCCAATTTATCATAATTATTATTATGACACAATTTAAAAAGTTAAACTCATATTATAATGTTTTGAAGGACAACCGGCCCCGTGACAAACGAGAAGCGCTCGTGCGCGCGCACCAGCGGGCGCGGGGCGCGGGCTGCGGGGGGAGCCGCCCGCCCAGGTAAACATCACACTCACCACAAAAATGCTCGCGCGTGCTGCGCACGCGCTCGCGCTTGGGTTAGGTTNAAAAAAGGTTAGGTTAGGTTAGGTTAGGTTAGGTTAGGTTGGGGTGCGATGGTGAGGGACCTCCCCGTGGTGCATCCCGGGCAACGTCCGCGTCTTCTGTCACGCGGGCGGCTGACTCCTCACCGGCGCGGCAGGTCGCGTCAACTCGGCGGGCCTGTCGGGCAACCCGTAACCCCCCAACGGAGGGGGGCCGGGGGCCCCGGCTACGGAAGTCGGGGCCAAGACAAGGACAAGTCTATAAAACCCCTAATCCTAAGGTCTGGCGGGGGCCGAGGGGATGAATGGCTAGAGGGTATCTAGCATGCTACCCAGTCGTGGAGGTGGGGCAGCTGCGCCCGTAAGCAGACACACAAGCATGGACGCAAAGACAAATGATAGTATACCCCAGGAGGGTACCGGCAATGCCGGAGAATCCCTCACCGCCTCGGCGGTCTCGGCTCACGTATCTGGGGGAGCCGCAACGCGTTCTGTGCTTTCAGCAGGTGGAAAGGAGAAGGAGATAGTGGTGAGAGTAGAGAGGATGAGACCTCCTTCCTTTGATGGGACCAGGCTCCGGGCTATGTTCGGAGGTCCTGCACCGTCGAAGAAGCAGGTTGGAAAAACTGAAAAAGTCGCCGAGCGTGCGGTCGAGACCGCTCCGTCATCTAGTCGGAGCGCGACTCCCGCGCGAGTAGGCGGCACGGTCACCGAGCGGGAGGACGGGGTCACCCGATTAGGTGGCCATACCGGAAGAGACGCCCCAGGATATGACTCTTGGACGGACGACGGCGGGTCGGACAGAATATCTGTCCTGTCCGTCGACTACACGGACGACGACGACGTTGAGTCTCAGGCAGAGAGCGTCGATAGCTCCCTGTCAAGGGCGGGCGTGAAACGCTCCTTGCCTAGAGAAGAGGAAGAGGATGAGGAGACTGACAAGGTGCCTAAGCTGTCCAGTGGGCGGCGAGGGCGCGGCTCCCGCGGTCCTCATATTAAGAGACCGCGCGGCCGTGGCAGACCTCCCAGCACGGGGGAATATGTGGGCCTAAAGGCCAGAAAGGCTGCTGAGAAGGCTCTTCAAAAGGAGCTGGACAGGCAGGCCACACTATCGGAGACGGAGGAGATGGCTGTGTCCTACTCGCGTCGCATGAAAGCGGCGCGTTCGAAAGCGGAGTACCTCACGACCGAGATGACTACGGAGGAGATGTTGCGGACTATCCGTGACAGTGCCGAAGCAGTCATAAAGTTGTCGGGGTCCTGTGGCAACCTAAAGGGCACCATCAAGGGCGCTTTCAGGGAAGCTGCAGTTACAATAGAGACGGTCACGAAGGCCATAGGCTTGAGACCCAAAGATGAGGAACTGCACAGGCTGGGCGTCGCTAACGCCCAGCTAAAGCAAGAGGTGGCTGAGCTCAGAGCGGAGATCACTCGGCTCAAGGAGGCGACGAGCAATGCGCAAGCCGCAACCGCTCCCGCCCCGCCACCACCTCCCCCGAAGCGACAATCAAGGCAGAATATGGAGGAAGTTGAGCGCAGCCTCTTCGAAAAGGTCGGCGTCATGCTCAACGCGCGTCTCGAGGCGCTAGAGGGACGCCTCCTCCCGGAGCAGCGGCTCCGTCCTCCGTTGGCAACGGATCGGGACAACAACGGAGAAACAGCTATGGAGACCGAGTTCCCTCCGCTGCCTCCTGCGACACCTTCGGCCAATTTTTTTTTTTTTTTTTTTTTTTGATTGTTTTCTATGCACCTCTGACGATTTCATATCAGAGACTTTTTTAATATGTAATTTTCAATTTTTATCTGGTGTGTTTTTAGGATGAATTTATTTAAGTTATTTACCGATGTTTATGTTCTTGCAGATTGTCATTTGAAATTTAATTTTGTCTAAATTGCTGTTTTTTGTAATTTTCTTGAATTTATTTTGCAGTTATGTTCTCAGATGATTACTATTATTTATTATGTTCAGGACTTCCAGTTTTCTATTTAAATTTTTCGGTATTTTGCTTAAAGCTTTTCTAAATTAATCTGTGTTTCGTGATTTTAGTAACATGTTTGATTTAATTTACTTGTTTTATTTTCTAAATTTTTACTACTCATTGTAACACTGGTGTTATTAATGTTCATCTATAGTATTCTTATAATACTTAGGTAACATTGGTCTTGAATTTAAAATTTCTAGTGTACGCCTTTTCGCTGTGTTGTGCTGTAATGAGTTGTAAGTCTCTTTTTGCCGATTTAAATTTATTACTCAAATAGTTCAATTTGGCCATCAAATTGATTTCTATTTGCTGGATTTTTTGGATTTTTGAATTTTGTGATCTACTTATTGCCAAAATGATGCTTTCGATTAATGTTAAAAATAAATTTTGAAGACTTTTCATGTTACTAAAAATTTTCTTTATATTTTCAGATTTTCCACAACAGACGAGGCAGATGGAGATCGGAGTGGTCGTGAGCTGGATGGTGATATCGCCCGCGGCCACCTTAGCAGTAGGCCACTGTGGATCTGGCCAACGCGTCCCACCGCCTGCGCACTGGGCAGTCGTTGCTGAACGCGTTGTGTGCGACCTGCTCCGCTTTGGCTCGCTGGCAGTTCCGGCACGACGGTGCCCCGCCAGCGAGCTTCTCGGCGCAGTCGGTGCTCAGGTGTGGCCCCCCACAGTGGCTGCAAACATCCGCGGGCTCCGTGCAGAATCGCTTACTGTGGCCGTATCCCAGACACTTTGTGCACTGCACTAGCGGTGACTGGTCGGCCACTCGGATGTGCTGTAAGTCGATGTGCACGGTTCCCGCTTCAGTCGCCCTCTGCCAGATTGCCGGCGATACGCTCACGACGATATGGTTTGTATGGGGGTTTCTGGCCTTTTTCTTGTATCGAATCTGGATGCGGTCCTCCCCCTCGCGGAGTTCATGAAAAATGCCCCTGTTCTGCTTTCGCAGCGCCTTCAGGACGTCCTCGTCGCTGTTCAACAACAGGACGTCCTTCAGGACTAGGAGCGGGTCTTTGTTTTTCATGTCCTCCGCGATTAGGAGGCCCCCATCCTCAATTCTTGCCTTAACTTTCTTCCTCTCTTCTTCTGAACTACACCCCATTATAATTTTCTGATTCTTAGCCTTTCGTATCCTGTCGACCTTCACCCATCCCTCCTTAGCGTTGACGGCGTCCCTGACCTTCCGCAGCACCTCCTCCCCTGTCTCCATCGCGTCCTTAGACGTGACCACGATGGAGTGCAGGGCCGACCTAACAGGCAGGCGCTGCTGTCCGGGCACGGACGCCGCGACGCTGGCATAGGTAGTCAACGCGCTATTGTTAGTCTTCTGCTTCTCCGTCTCCTCCTTAATGTCGTCCAATTTCTTACTATTTAACAGCAGCAGTCTCCTGTTCTCTCTGATCTCAGCTAGTATGTCTTCCTCTTCTACTCTTTCCTTCTCCCTATCCGCTTCCTTCTCTTTAACAGGTTCAGGCTCGGCCACCTTCTTCGCCGGAGCCTTCCCCTTCCTTTCCATCTCTGCCTCTTTTACTAGCTGATACAGCCGATCCAGAGCCTGCGTGACGTCGGTCTTGATGTCACCGCGCAGGTTTCTTGCTGTGCCAAGAGACATCTTAGCCTTCTGCAGGCAGGCTCTGGCTTCGGCTGTTCTTTCCTTAGTTGCAGTGGCGGGCAGCTTGGGTGAGCTCGCCGACGCTGCCTCCACGGAAGCCCGGCGCACTGGCGCGGGTTTCTTGGGGGCCTTCGGGGGCTCGGCCTGCGGCGGGGTTGAGTCGGAGCCAGAAGAAAGCCCAGCTTTCCCTGTCTCCCACTCGCCGACGCTGCGTCTCACCCTCCCTGCCCTCCTGATAGGTGGAGACTCAGGAGACCTCTGCTGGACCTCGTCGGTGGGCTTCTTCGCCGGAGTCCTAAAACCGAACATGTCGCCAGAGGTGCGTTTTTTTTTTTTTTTTTTTTTTTTTAAATCTTTCTACCTCTAGCATGGTCACCAGAGCCTTTTTTATTATGTTTTAGTCAATTTTCTTCTATGGGTTTTAAGGTTTTAAGTTTAATTTTTGTGAGTGTTTTCTTGAGTCGTGTTCTTTTTTATTTTTAAATATCTGT